GGCCATACTTGGGTGGAAATTTCTTATCTGCAGCCTCCCCCCACCTACCACCCACCCAAATACACACCCCAATACGCAAAAGTCAACCAGGCCTGTGGAACCTGCTCTTCAGCAAGCCACGATGGGTAATAACCCCAGCCCTGCCCCTTCTCTCCTACTCATTCTTTCACCTAAGTTAAGTGTCTGCCTCCCCAAACCTACTTTTAAAAGGGGATTTCAACTTCCCTCTCCTTCTGGAAACACAACGCTTTAGGGAGTTTCCTAAAGATTTTTTTAAAAGTTAGTAATACCTATAGGCAGGATGACGTAGTAGATAGAGAGCTGGTCTTGAAGACTGAAAGATCTGGGTTCAAGTCTTGTCTCTGATTAATATTATGCCACCTGGGCAACTTGCTAAGACTATCAAGCTGTTCATTTTAATTGGTAGAGGGAACTTCCGGATCTGGAGTTCCCAATGAAATCACAGGTCTAATCCCTTTCTTCGTTACTTCCTTCTCTAATAAATAAGTTCAGGGAAGACAATGGAGTTTGTAAAAACAAGTAAAATGAAAATGCTACAAATTACAAGTATTGAATATTGGCACTTTGGTTGTTGTTGTTGCCATTTTGAAGGAGATGAAGTGGTACCTCAACTTACAATTTTGATATACATCTTCAGGTATCTTGTCTAAGGAAAGCCTTCAAGTGCCCATTTTGCTCTATGAAATCAAATGGATTCTTTAAACCAATTAAGTGTGATGGAATCTTACATTCTTCATACTTCTCAATTAGTTGGGTGACCCTAAGAATGCAGTCTGTTTTGGGGAAATGTCTGTGAAACCCTGCTCCCTTTCCATTCCTCTATTGGGAAGACCTTCATGCATGCTTAGACTACTCTCAGACAGACTTTCTAGAAGTGAGAAGCAGGCATGAAGGGTGAGGCTGCTGGGATAGTTTGAGCTCTTCCTGTGCCAAGGCTTGAAGAGGGATTAAAAGGGTTTGGAAAAGCCACTGTGGTGAGTGGAAGAGTTAATTAGAGAGGTGTCAAAACATTGCCTTGCTGCAGTGAGAGCTCTTTAGAGACGATGCAGCATAAATTTGTAGTGGGTCCAGTCAGCATGGTTTTGTGATTTTGCTTCAGCTTCATTCAACAGCATGTGAGGAAAAAAACAAAGGGATGGAGAGATTGGAGGTCATGGTAAAGATGAAGAACAGGGTTAGGGGGTTGCAAGGCAGAGGGAGAGGTGGAATAACAACAGGTTATAATCAGATAAAGAAATTTTACAGTTCATAAATACGAAAGGGAAGGCAAGTGCCCTGGAGGTATGTACCAGAATCTTGATTGGGTGATAAATGCAAAGTGAATGAACCCCAAAGACTGAGAGATTATTGAGCTGGTGATAAATGTGAATTGAATGAACCTCAAAGATAGATTATGGGTGATAGTGGTAGAGCAAGAATATGGAAGTGGCAGAGAGGAGCAAGGAGTATTACAACTCTCCCAGGGCAATCAATGCATCTGGAGGGGTATGAATGAAAATGTAACCAATACTAGAAGATATTCCTTCCCTCCTTCCTTTTTTTTTTTTTTTTACAAAAACACCAACATTATCTATGATCTTTTCTTTTGGAGTCATCTTCATTTTGAAAGATCTTTAAAATCAGTCCCTGAATGCCTTTAATTATATAAATGCCTTTAAATTATCACTGCCAGGATGGAATTCTGTTTTTAAAAACTTTGCAAAAATCTGTCTTCCCCTTAACCCACCTCTGTTACCTTCAGAGGAAAAAACAAAGCAAAGCAAAATCCTTGTAACAAATAAATGTAGTTAAGTATAAACAAATTCCCACACTGGTCACTGTCCAAAAAAATATGTCTTTTGATTCCATCAACCACAAAAGATGAGTAGCATACTTCATTATTATCTTCTTTGTCGTCATTACCTCAACTTTATAGTAATCACTCCCCTTGCACCTTCATCTTTATCACTTACACCTTTCCAAACCTCAGCATTGGATTATGTCCACTCTGCCTCATGTACTTCTAAATGCCACTGGAGAAAGTCACACACAACTTTGCCCACAAGGTCCACTACAAATTTACATTATCTAATTTTAATTAAACCTATAGTATAACATGGCAATATTTTTACTCTTCCCCATCTTATCTCTATTATAACACCCCCCCAAAGTGTCTATTTCAATTTTTCTCCTCTTCTCAAACCATTGATACTAGTTCCTACCCCTACCCCTTTCAGCTGAGGGCCTCTGCTCATACTTGACCAAGAACATTAATGCCATCATCCATCATGAACTCTGTCTACTCCCCAGTCTGACAACTGAGATTTCCTTAACCTCCCATTCACCCAGACACCCACCATTTGGGTTCCAGTCTCTGGGGAAGCATTGGCCCTAGAAGAATGACACCAAATTCAGGGTTTCACATATAATCCTCATTTTAATTTGTACGTGAAAGTATTCATTTTTTTGTCTTTTGTTTGTTAGGTTCAGAATAAAAAATTATATTTTTGAAAGAATGATAACAACTTTAGCAGAAATAAGAAGGGTAAAATGTGAAAGTATAATGGAAAATAGATTTTCCTGGTACACCAAGCCACAGTCTTCTCTTGTTCTATTCTCTTGAGAAGGGTAGACCAAGGGAAATTCAAACTCCTTACCCAAAGTGCTTTCAAAAGGGCCAGTAAGAATCAAATGAGACAATTAATAAACAAGTATTGATTAAGTACATACTTTGTTCTAGGCACTATTCTGGGTGCTGGGGATACAAAAAGAAAAATGAAACAGTACCTGGCCCGAGTAGTTTACCTTCTTTAAAGGGATGTAATAAATGTAAAGCACGTTGCAAACTTTAAAGTGTCATAAGAATTTGATATTATCATTATCATCATTTTTTTATTTTAAACTTTTTGTTTTTATATTCAGTTTCAAATTCTCTCCCTCTAACCTCTCTTCCATATATTGAGAAGGCAAGAAATGTGATACCCATTAGACATACAAAATCATGCAAAACATTTCCACATTTGCCATGTTGAAAAGAAAAGGCAAGAAAAAAATGCTTCAGTCTGTACTCAAAGTCCATCAGTTCTCTATTTCATCATGAGTCCTTTGGTATTTTCTTGGATCGTTGTACTGATCAGAGTAGCTAAGTTTTTCATAGTCTACCATTGTTACAATATTGCTGTTCCTGCGTACAATGTTCTCCTAATTCAGCTCACTTCACTTCACATCAATTCATGTAAGTCCATATTCACATGAATAGGGATAGGAACTGGACCTGTAACTTCATTGGTAGAGGATATCCAGGAATTAGGGGAAAAGCTCTTTTTTTTTGGGGGGGGGAAGAAACTCTTTACCAAGGCAGGCTGGCACCTTCTTTGTAATTTAGATATCTGGCTTAGAGCACTAAGAGGTTATGTCCTTCCCAGGTTTTTTCTGAAACCATTCCCCTTATCATTTCTTATAGCACAATAGCATTCCACTACAATCAGCCAATTCCCAATTGATGTGCATCCCCTCAGTTTCTAATTCCTTGCTGCTACAAAAAGCTGCTATAAACATTTTTGTATAAATAGTTTTTTCCTTTTTTTTTTATCTCTTTGGGGTACAGATCTAGCAACTGTATTGCTAGATCAAAGGGTATGCACAGTTTTATGGTCCTTTAGGCATAGTTTCAAATTATTCTCTGGAATGGTTAGGCCAGTTCATAGCCCCACCAACAGTGTATTAGTGTACCTACTTTTCCCATCCTCTCCAGCATTTGTCATTTTCCTTTTCTGTCAAGTTAGCCAATCTGATGACCATGAGGTGGTATTTGAGAATTGTTTTAATTTACACTTCTCTAACTATTAGTAATTTGGAGTATTTTTGTATATGACTATTTTTAGTTTTGATTTCTTCTGAAAACTACCTGTTCATATCCTTCTTTGATCTTTTATCAGTTGGAGAATAGCTCTTGTTTTTTATAAATTTGACTCAGTTCCATTTACATGTATATTATATATATATATATATATATATATATATATATATGTGTGTGTGTGTGTGTGTGTGTGTGAGTGTATATATGTATATATGTGTGTGTATATGTATGTATATATATAAATTGAGACTTTTATAAAAGAAACTTGCTGTAAAATTTTCCTTCAGTTTCTTGCATTCCTTCTAATTTTGGCTCCATTAGGTTTGTTTGTGCAAAACCTTTTAAATTTTATATAATCAAAATTTTCCATTACAGAAGCATTATGATCTTCTCTGTATCTTGCTTTGTCATAAACTCTTCCGTTATCTATAGATCTCACAGGTAATTTTTTTTCCATGCCCTAATTTGCTTATGATAAATCACGTATGTCTAAAACATTTTCATCTTACCTTGGTATATGATGTTAGATGTTGGTCTATGTCTAGTTTCTGCCAGACTACTTTCCAGGTTTCCTAGCAATTTCTATCAGATAGTGAGTTCTTGATCCAATTGCTGGAATCTTTGGGTTTATCAAACACTAGGTTACTGTGGTCATTAACTTATGTATATTGCTTACCTAATCTATTCCACTAATCAACTACTCTTTCTTAATCAGTACCAGATTGTTTTGAAGATTACCACCTTGTCATATACTGTAGTTTGAAATCTGGTACTGCTAACTCACTTTCCTCCCTCCCCCCCCCCATTGATTCCCTTGATATTCTTAACCATTTGTTCTTCCAGATGAATTTTGTCATTTTTTCTAGCTCTTTAAAATAATTCTTTCATAGTTTGATTGGTTTGGCACTGAATAAGTAAATTAACTGAGATAGTATTGTCATTGTTATTGTGTTGGCTCAGCCTACCCACGAACAATTAATATTTCTCCATTTGTTTAGATCTGTTTTTATTTGTGATCAGCACCATTGAATAATCAAGCAAATAGCAATAGAAGGCTACAGAAGTAGAAAGTGAAACATGGGTTTTCAAATGTAAACTTTAAACTGAAACTTCCATTTCTATCTCTTCCTTTTCCCCCTAGGGCCCAGACACCAACGGATATCTTACTGGCCGGAACAATGCCAATGGAGTAGACCTAAATCGAAACTTTCCAGATCTTAACACCTACATGTACTACAATGAGAAGAGTGGGGGACCCAACCACCACATACCCCTTCCAGACAACTGGAAAAATCAGGTACAGAGCTGAAATGTTTTACACAAAAATACTTGGGTGTGGAGGAATCCCTCCCTCTCATGTCTTCTCTCATTTACCTTTATTCTAACTCAATTCAGCAAGTGTTTAATAAGTCTTAACTCAAGTATTGACAGGCCCCTAACAGCAAGATCTTTTGTTTTATTCCTTGCTGTATCCCTGGTACCTGCCACAACACCCCACCCTTAGTAATGGATAAGGATAGGAACTAGATCTGCAATTTCATTAGTAGCATGAATCCATGAATGAGGCAAGAAACTCTTTACAAAGGCAGTTTGGCACCTTCTCTGTAACTTAGAGATCTGGCTAGAGCATGAAGAGGTTGTGTCTTGCCTAGGATCACACAGTCTACACTGTGTATTAGACTCAGATCTTCCTGGCTTCCAGGCCAACTCTCTGTTGTCTATACCCATACTATATCTCCCTAGCCTTTAGCCCAGAATTCCACATTTAATTAGACTCCATAAGTATTTGGTGATGGTGATGACAATAATAGGTATCCAAAACTCTATAGACAATACTCTTTCACATTTAGTTATCTATGAACATGTATCCCCTAAACAGAATGTAAGCTACTGGAGAACATGGACTGTTTCACTTTTGTATGTGCCAGTTCAATGCCTGGCATCTATTAGGTGATTAATAAATTCTTATACATTAATTGGCTGATCAGAGTCACAGCTTGGATCTGTCAGAGACAGTAAATGGCTTCCAGTCTTGTCCCTTCCATCTCTGTGTGCTACTCACATCACTCAGTCAGTCAACAAGCATGGAAGTGAGTCAGTAGTACAACCTGGAAGGAGTTGAAGACATCTTTGGCCTAGGTCTCCTCCTTAAATTTGATACTTTGGGAGGAACTAGTCAATCAGAAAGTGATGCCTCAGGGGCAGAGAGAAGTCTCGTGTCTCTCCCAATTCCAATGTGAGAAATAGTCCAGGGTGGAGTGAGTTCCATGATGAAGAGGTTTCTATGGCATGATAGAAAAAGGCCTGTGGAGATGGGTCAGCAGGGCAGCCTAGAGAGGGATGAAGGCATGCTCAGCCACGCCTTTTCTCATCTCAGTTTCATTCCCGTTGGTCTAATTAAAAGGTTGGAGATTGAGAAAATAGTAGGCCGGAAAGCAGATTTGGAGCCTTCTTTTCTTTGCCTTCCCCCTTGACTCCTTTATTAGGAGGAGGAAACTTCAGATGCCTATTTGTGTGAATTTTGTACTTCATTTTGTATGAATGTAACTAATGAGTAGTTTGGTACCTGGTGTCCTCTTGGGCCCCTGTTAACTCTTTACCTCCATATAGGTGGAACCAGAGACTGCAGCTATTATATTGTGGATGGAATCCATCAACTTTGTTCTTTCTGCCAATCTTCATGGAGGTGCAGTCGTAGCCAATTACCCATATGACAAGTCCCGTGAGCATCGGGTTCGGGGTTTCCGTCGTACTGCCGATACTCCCACTCCAGATGATAAGCTTTTCAGAAAGGTAAGCAGAAAGGCTAGATGAAGTGCCTGGCAGAGGGTGGGGCATCTAGAGAATGTGAAATCCAGCAGGTGGAAGCATCAGATCAAGTCAAGAAATCCTTGCTGAGATGCCACTGGCTACAAAGAACTATATATGAGATACTACAGAGGATACAAACCCCTATAGGAGACAATATGGTACCAGAGGGACAAAACGGCTCTGAAGTCAGAGGATCTGGGTTCAAATGCCACTTCCAATGTTTGCTACCTATATGACTTTGATGAAATCACTTAATCTTCATGGGTCTCAGTTTCCTCACTGACAAGGGTATTGGACTAGATGGTCTCCGAGGTCCTTCCAGCTCTAGACCTGTGAACCTATGATTCTTCTAAGAGCTTACAATGTTCCAGTAAGGAAACACAAAATTAACCCACAAAAACGTTTGACAGCATACAATGTCAGAAGATCTAAGTTTGAGTTCTGCTTCAGATACTTACTAGCTGTGTGACCCTAAGCAAGTCATTTAACTTCTCTTGGCTCTAGTTTTCTCATCTGTAAAATGGGGATGATAATGATGATGATGATGATGATGATGATGATGATGATGATGATAGCATCTAACTGACAGGGTTGTTGTGAGGATCAAATGACATGATGTATGTTAAGTGCTTTGCAAACCTTAAAGTGCTGATATAAATGTTAGCTATTATTTTTTTTTTGTTTGGTTGGTTTTTTGAGGCAATCAGAGTTCAGTGACTTGCCCAGGGTCACACAGCTAGAGAGTATCTGAGGCTGGATTTGAACTCAGGTCCTTCTGACTTCAGGGCTACTTCTCTATCTATTGAGTCACCTAGTTACCCTTATACTTTTTTAAAAAAAATATTTATAATGACATTGTGTGCTGAGCTCCAGCAAGTCTGCATACACAGTCATTTAATAGTTTAAGTCTTAAGACAAAGAAAGATGTGAAGAAATTTTCCACGATTGATTGCCCACTGAAGTGTATAGTTGAATAAGAACTCAGAAGAAGGAGAGTTTGTATCAGGTAAGGGTGGTTAGGAAGATTTTACAGATGAGTTTGATGTCAGAGCTATAAGACTGGATAGGTATACCAGAATATACCTATCAGAAAGATGCATCTTTCACAAACATCTGCTCTGTCTTAAATTACATGCATAAATTCTTGTTAAGGTATTATAGATGTGATGATATTTGATTATAAGTTCCTGTTAAGGTATTTATGGCATGCATGTATTAAGGAACATTTTGCTTTCCTTTTGAGCTGTTCTAATGGACATAGTACCTCCAAGAACTCTTCATTTTCTACTAACCCATAAGATAAGAAAATCATTGATTTAGGGCTACAAGTCATCTGCTCCACTTCCCTCGTTTTACAGATGAGGAAACTGAGGGCTAGAGAGGTTAAGTGACTTGCTTGAGGTCACACAGGTTGTAGGTAGCAGAACTGAGATTTAAACAAAGGTGCTCTGACCCCAAGCCTCCCAATTAAAATACACTTTAATGGATCTATGAACTGGTTGGTATGGGTCAGGAGTGGGGAACTTGTGGCCTCAAGGCCACATTTGGCCTTCTAGGTCCTCAGGTGCAGACTTTTGATTGAGTCTAAGTTTTACAGAACAAATCCTTTTATTAAAGGAGTTGTTCTGTGAAATTTGGATTCATTCAAAGGGCCGCACGGACGTAGGGGGCCACATGTGGCCTCGAGGCCGAAGGTTTCCCAACCCTGGTATAGGTACTCATTCATTGAGTTCAGATAGCAACCCAAGCCTTCTTATCCTGTTTGTGAAATTCTTTTCCATGTCTTTCTATAAATCATCCAGAAAGTATCTAGCCAATGCTTTGGATGTCTTCCTTGAAGCCTTTTAATATTTCTCTTTTTTCATTTCTTCCTTTTTTGTTTTCAGCATTTGCTTTTATGAGATTTTAAGTTCCAAATTTTTTTCTTCCCCCTCCCCAGGATGGCATGCAGTCTGACATAGGCTATATATGCGTAATCATATTAAGCATATTTCCACATTAGGCATGTTGTGAAAGACGAATCAGAACAAAAGGGAAAAATCACAAAAAAGAGGGAGAAAATAGTATGCTTCAATATGCATTGAACTCCACAGTTCTTTCTTTGCATGTGGATAATATTTTTGTTTGTTTGTTTTGAGGCAGTTGGGGTTAAGTGACTTGCCTAGGGTCACACAGCTAGTAAGTGTCAAGTGTTTGGTCTGAGGTCACATTTGAACTCAGGTTATCCCAACCTCAGGGCCAGTGCTGTATCCACTGCGCCACCTAGTTGCCCCGTGGATAGTATTTTCTATCATGAGTGTTTTGGAATTGTTTTAGATCATTGTATTGCTGAGAAGAGCTAAGTCTATCAAAGTTGGTCATCGCACAATGTTTCAGTTACAAAAGCCTTTTCTGATGTAATACTTTTCTGCCCTGTCCTAGGGAGAGCAACAAAGCCCCAGGAGGCACAGGACTGTTTGGTTTGCCATTAGCCACAAGATAAGTTTATACAAGTTAGTTTAGCACAGAGTAAGGAGGTCTGGTCTGGTCCCTGTATCTGGAAGGTCTCTCAATGAGAAGTGTAGCATCAGCAATTTGGCAGGAAACCTGTTTCAGCAGGAAGAAGAAGGAAGCTTATCTCTGGGCAGCTGAGAGCTATCCATTCAGCTTCACCACTAGACAAAACCTTCTAGCTCTTAAAAGGCCTGGATTAGCTAAAGTCAATCAAATGTCTTTAAAGGGCAAGGCTCTTCCTCAACCAATAAATCTTCAGGGTCTATATCCAAGAGGGCACTCTCCAGCCCTACTAGGCTGTCTGTGTTTCTTAGGGGAATAGTTGAGTCATCTTCCAGGTCAGGGATGGACCTATTCTTATAGGTGTCAAAACTCTCTCCTTTTTTTCTCATCCACTGACCCATCCTCTCCTTTTTTTGGGTGGGAGTTCAGGCCACTGGGATTCTGATACTTTGGGGGTATTTCCCACAATTCCCAATAAGCCAATTCCAATAAGTTTTTATTAAGCCCCTACTGTCTTCAGAGGGGGCATCTAGGTGGTGAAGTGGACAGAACACCAGGCTTGGAATCAGGAAGAACTGAGTTCAAATCTGGCCTCAGATACTTACTAGTTGTGTGACTCTGGGCAAGTCACTTAACTCTGTCTCAGTTCTTCATCTATAAAATGGAGACACACTGGAGAATGAAATGGCAAATCACTCCAGTATCTTTGCCAAGAAAACCCTCTCCAATCCATCTATGTCCCTGTCATATTAATGTTTCTTGCCTGTAGAACTGGTTACATTGCTTCTCTACTCAAAAACCTTTAGTGACTCCCTATTACCTCCTGAGCAAACTTAAAACTCCTCTGCCTGGCATTCAAGGCTTCTACAACATGGAAAGCCACCCTTTCACAAATGAGAAAAAAGTCAAAGATAAACACAAGATAGTAAGTGAAGGATGGTACTGCAGGTAGAAATGGTGGAATCAGAAGGAAGGACAGATGCAGGCAGAGAGGTCATGAGCTTTGACAAGGACATGTGGAGTTTTAGATTTGAGTGAGACATCTATGTGGACATGTCCTGGAGACAGCCAAGGACATAGATCTAGACTGCAGCTACAAAGAACATGTGAGTGTAGAAGTCATGATTGAAGTTGTGAAGAGCCAAAGATAATTCCTTAGGCAATACCTTAATTAAAAGGTCAGGAAGAAGATTAGGATTCAGGGAAGATGACAGCGAAGAAGCACAAGAGAGTGATGTCTCTGAAGCTAAGGTTAAGAGTATGAGTGGGTGACCAACAGTGTTGAAAGCTTCAGAAAGCAATAGGAGAATTTGACTTGTCTTTTTACCTTAGGTGCATAGCACAAAGCAGATTCTTAATAAATACGTAAATACTTAAATACTTGAGGGTTGAGAATGAGGAGAGGAGACCCCTGTGGTAGATCAGAAAACATATTCAATTTGGTGTCAGAAGATTAGGTGTCATTTCAGTTCTGCAGTTTTCTAACTGTATGACCTTGGGCAAGTATTCAGGCTGCCCCAGTTTCCTCTTCTATAAAATAAAGGGGTTGAACTAAATGATCTTGAAGGTCCTTTAACCTCTAACTACTATGCTCCTGTAGATTGCAAGGGGTGGAGGAGACAGTGGGTAGTGAGGAAGTGGAAACGTTTTTCAATGTTTTGCAATGAAGGGGAAAGAAGATTGGTTGATAGGACTGAAAAGACCTGAGTATTTCAATAGGCAGATGGGAACCCAACAGGCTCACATTCAACATGAAGAGAGTTCATTCAACAATGAACATTTATCAAACTCTAGTATTTATAAGACACTTTTCTGCTAAATCACAGTACCTAGCATGATAATGATATGTAAATCATAGGCACCCAGTAAGTGTTAATTCAATAGATGTAGTACAAGACCATTTGTAACACCTTATGTCCACCATCTGAGGATATAACCATGCATTTTAAACTTATAGAGAGGTTAGGGAGTTAACAAGGTTTATTGAGGGGATGATTAAATCTCCAAAAATCCCCTGGAATGTCCCTTATTATGAAGAACAGAGAAAAACAACAGCAGGCACATTCCTTCTCCTTCCCTCCCTCCTCTATGCTAGTAGTAACCTTAATCTTCCTGGATAAACTATTCTTTTCACCTTTGGTGGACTCTGTAACTCCTACACTTAAAATATCTCCAGTGGGAACCATTTTCTTGTTTCGTGCATCCCCTGAAGACTATGCTTTGTTCACCCCTCCGCCCCCAAAAGAGGCTTAGTCTTAGGCTCAGACACTGAGGCCCTGGCAAGTTACAAGGATGATATTGAGGAAAATGGAAATGGGTCTATGAAAATTAATCAATGGATCAAAGAATTTCTTGACCATAAAAATGAAGACGAGTCACCTTGTTACCCACATGCAAATTTCAGTTATTGTTGTTATGTTTATGTTGTTGCTTTAAACAGTCTGCTACTTGTTTTGTCCATGTATGTCAGTGCTCTCTACAATACAGCATAAATACAACGATATCCTGAAAAATGACCATCAAAGTACATGAAATAGCACCATAGAAACAGGATGGAATTGAGATAGTAATGGACTTGGAGGCAGGAAGGCTTGGGTTCAGATCTCCCTTGTGTGACCCTAGTCACTTAACTTTTCTGAACCTCAGTTTCCTCAACTGTAAAACAGAGTTAATTCCTGTAGTGCCTACCTCACAAGGTTATGTTATTGTGAGGCTCAATGAGATGTCTATTTAAAGCACCTTGACAATGTGAACGTGCTGTATGTTAAAACATGGCATCCAAAAAAAAATTGTTATGCTGTTTCAAAAGCCTGCTTCCAGGGTCTGCCTACACAGGAGCAGTAACATCTGTTGAAAACAGGAATATTATGATCTCCTCCTAAGTTCAGTGTCAAAGTAAATAAAGACCGATAGAGCTTAAAGGGGCATTAGAGTTCACCTAGTCTAATGTCTTCCTTTTAACAGAAGAGTAAACTGAAACCCAGAGAGCAGATTTACTCTAGTTTACAAAGTGGGGTTAATGGCAGAGCCAGTACTAGAACCTAGGGCTCCTTATTTCTCCAACCACAATGTTCCCACTACTTTGTTTTAACCCTGCTGATTAACACAGCTAATTGAGTGACTTTTGGCTTCACCCCCAATTCTAGGTGTGAACATTCCCACATAAATTTGGTATATTCTGGGTCATGTTTCCTACCGTGCTTTCCCCTCAGCTGGCCAAAGGCTATTCCTATGCACATGGATGGATGCACCTGGGCTGGAACTGTGGCGATTACTTTCCTGATGGCATCACCAATGGGGCTTCCTGGTATTCTGTCAGCAAGGGTAAGGGGGTTTCAAGGAAGAGGTGGAAGCAGATACAGTGACTTCATTATCCTGACAAACAGGCAGCATTATTCACAGTGAGGGAAAGCAAAAGGATACAACAGATGCTAAGCCTAGAGACTTGGAAAGAAAGTCTTGGGAGTGGGAGGATGGGTAAGAGAGTCACTTGTTAAACATGTGCCAGCCCACCACTGCTTGATCTCCACTTTTGATAGAGACTGAGCTGATAGGCTAGGATAATCTTCGTGGAAAAGGGTGAAGGGAGAAGATGGGGAGTTTAAGGACGTACCACATTTATCTGTCTTCTTGTGACTAATAGCATGTTTCCACTTGATGGACTTTCTCAGGGTTACTACAAACCATGGCCATGATAGTCAATATAGAGCAAACCCTTAGTTGGAAGACTGAGTGGGAAAGAACAGGGTGGGGAGCAGTTCATCACAGCTTGCCACTTGACATGCTTTAAAAAAAAATTGAACTGGATTTTTATAAATGTAAGTGATTGTGTTGTTACTAAAAGGCTTTGAAGATATAAGAGTTTTAACTGAGGACTTATTAATGCCTAAAGATACCATCATAACATAAGAATTATAAATGCTAATTTCACACTATTTCTAACAGAATTTCAATGTAACCTTTTAAGAAAAGCATTATAAGTAGTGCAAAATAGGTCATAGTTAGTGACCCAATGTCATAGAATTCCTTTAAGCTCCTTCTAAATAGATTATTTAGAAACTTTAAGGACAATTTATACTTAGCAGAATCAAAATTAAGGAAGAGTAACTGGGGCTTTTCTCCAGGATGCTAAAATTTACAGGGCTGCATCCTCAGTGAATTCCTCCAAGCACAGCCCACGCCCATGCCCCAACCTTATCCCAGGTATAAAAATGTCTAGTTATGGTCCTGGCCTGGTACTCATGAAGTCTAGAACATCTCATTTAGCATCTAAGAGGTGATAAATACCTTTTAACTGAAATAGAGCATTATAGGAGAAGAGATTTAAGGCTTGAAGGGATCTTAGAGGTCATTGAGTTCAATCTCTTCATTTTAAAGATAGGAAACTGAGGCTCAGGGACCTTATGTTACTTGCCTGGGGTCAATATAGCTAGTAAGTGTCTGAGGCAGATTTGGACCCCCGAGCTGTCCTGACCCCAAGTCCAGAATGCTGTATACCATACCACACCATAGTGGAGATGACAGACAAAATCAACTTTGTTATTTTTGAAAATCTGGCAGATATAATCTCACCTCTACAAGTACATCTTCTCAAGAACATAAATTAAAAGAGTGTTGCGTGTTGCTCATTTGTAGTGGTGCTATTGTTTCCCTAATTTCTAATAAGAGATAGAGCTGTGATTTCTAGCAGTGTAAGATACTACCTTTTCCATACAACGCATCTCTGACTTAAATTCTTGGGGAGTTGCTTGAGATACTTAGGCATTAAATGACTTGTCCATGGTCCCCTAGCTAGAAAGTGTCAGAAGTGGGATAATGTAGCTCATTGGGTCATTGATATAGAGCTTGAAGGGACCTCAAATGCCATTTAATCCAGCTCCTGTATTTTACATACCAGGAAATTGAAGCCCAGGTTGTCCTAACTCCAGTCCCTATCTACTATGCCAGGTCACTTCCTCAGAATCATAAAATTAAAATGAAAATATATAAAAATATAAATTGTTGCTTCTAAGATGTATATTTTTTTGCCTTCTTGATAGTAGGCCTATGTCTGGCCCTGGCTTTGAAAGTTTTAGTTTTAGAATTTTATCCAACAAGGAAAGATAGTATGATATAATATGGAACTAAAATAATGAACAAGAGAACCAGATTCTAGTCTCAGTTCTGCTAAACTCTGTTGTGCCACTTTCTTTTCCTGGGGCTCAGGTCCCTAATCTTTAAAATGAAGGGGTTAGACAAGATGTATCTAAAATATTTTCTAGTTCTAAGATTTGATGAACAAGGATGTGGTTTTTTGTAGAAAGAAATCATTCTATTTAGCATAATTCCCAATAATACTTAGAAATTGTTGTATCTAGCATGATTCTCAATAATATGCACCTTGTAGCCATGCTACAGGTTCTCTTTATTCAAATTAATTCATCAAAAATCGTCTCTGAAAGCCAGTTTGCTGTGTTGGTTTCCCCTGTTCCTTATTACCACGTTTGCTTGGATGTTCCATCCCAAAGTAAAACTGTCCGACTAAAAAAGCGGGATGTATATGATCCCCTTAGTTCTCAGCAGAGGTTTGCTAGAGCCAGATGTTACTGGCTGCCAATTGTTAAATTTTCAGTGTGAGAATTTATACCTCAGAAATCGACAAATGCTATAAATCAGAGCTTGATTTATTGCATTGTTGGCTGTCTAGACTTAGGAAAGTGGTGGAGAAAATAGAAAAAATGCTGATTAAACTTAAAAATATGTCATGAGCAGGTCCCCCTAACAAACCCCCAACCACACTCCAGCCCCGAAAACCAATTGTTAAATATCAACCAGTACACTTCTGGTTCTAAGTCGCTGGCATTAAGGAGGTTTGGGAAATGATGAAGAAAAAGTAAATTTTAAGTCTGTGAAATGGAGAAGAAATATTAGGCATTTCCTGGTGGTGGGAGTTGCTTTAAAAGGATAGAAAGTGGGAGAGATATTGGAAATTTGGGGCGGAAAGACTATTTCATAAGGAAGAAAGAATTTAGAGGCCAAGAGGTAGAAGAGAAAGTATTAAGGGATGGAAGAGTTCCAGTTGAGAGGCAAGATAGGGTGTTCAGATGTACAAATCTGCTACTGTGCCCTTTCCGTCATAGGAATGCAAGACTTCAATTACCTCCATACGAACTGCTTTGATATCACTCTGGAATTGAGTTGCAATAAGTTTCCACGCCAGGAGGAGCTGCAAAGGGAGTGGCTTGGCAACCGGGAGGCATTGATTAGTTTCCTGGAAGAGGTAAAAAGTAAAAGCATTTCTGGGAAGTCCCAACTTTTAATTTCCATATTCTCACCACAAAAAAGGAGAGATTTCTTAGTTGTAAATGAAGGTTTTTTTGGAGCCCACACACACTGCTCTAACAGACTCTCCCTCTGTGGATTTCTTATAGTGTCTAAGATGTCCAATGTGATGTCCTTAGCCCTTAGTTCTTCCCCCTACTCCTTCCCAAGTGCCCCATTGATATTAATTAATTTATTCACCACATTTTTGTCTACTGTGTCCACAACAAAAATTTTCTCCCAGTTTTATGACTTTGGAGGTGCCTCTGCCTTTTATTCATACATATTTATCCCTGTCCTCACTACCAAATCCTATATCTGGTGGTCAATCATCAAGTCCTAATGATTATTCCCATAGCTCCAGCCCATATTCTTTTCTCCAGTCTCCTTATTTATAATCCTGCACACAGCAAGCAATAAGGCATCATTTTCTTTCTTAGGAATCCTTTCAGTATCACTCTTTTTTTTCTTCCTCATCACCTCCGAAATACTTTAAGTGCCTAATTGCATGTGATGCTTCTAAGTAAGTATTCTGCAGAGAGATTTGGATGGCCGTGGAGGTTAGAGAGCCGAAATATCCAAGGGAAAGGGCATAAGGAAACTTACTTGCCTTGGAGATTCTAACTTTCTACCCCAAATAGAAATAAAGCTATTGTCATTTGGGACTTTTGGTTGATAGAATGAATAAAACAAAGACAGAATTTTGTTCTTTATGGAAGAGCTCTCTCACTTTCCTTTTCTTAAGTCCCCAGTTAGACCCCCCATAGATATCCCTTAAATGAATGGGGAGCAGCTCTTACCCCACCATGACTTCTTCTGGCAGGTTCACCATGGCATCAAGGGAATGATATTCGATGAAAATAACAATGGCATCGCAGGAGCAGTAATTTCTATTAATGGGATATCTCATGATGTCACTTCAGGTAAGTATCCACTGTTTATTGCTCCATCTTGTCAGTCATCACCATCTATCCTCCCCCACCACCACCATGGGTATAAGCCAGCAAGGCTGACAGTGAATTGAAAAGCTGAATCAGGCACTCATAATTTTTTTTTAAGAAAAAAAAAACAGACAAAACAAATCACACATACACATTGCTGCTAAGGTAAGTAAGTTATACCTGGACACGTAGGTATTGGAAAAGTAGCAATTCTGTGCCATGGAAGTTTGGAGCTCTTCTATACAATAATGTTTTAATTTGTGTTATTGTTACTTTTCTATATGATCAATTTCACCCACTAGATTTTATAGTTCTCAAGGACAAGGAAAACATAAAACAAAGTGCTATATCCTCTCACCAAAGGTGTTTAATACCATCATGGAGGAGGTCCAGCTCAGAATACCAATCAGTAAATTCTCTATAGACATATAGAGGGGTGACAGTTGTGCTGATGCAATGGATGAATGAAAAAACATTTATTAAGCACCTATTGTGCTAGCTACCGGGAATAAATACAAAAGATATTATCTGCCTTCAAAAAGTTTTTATTCAAATAAGGGAAGGTAACACATATAAGGAATGGTGGACATGGAAAAAAAACGTCTAGTCTGGGAAGTCACAGGGATTGTCAATGAAGTCACAGGGCAGTTGAATTCAGTCGTGGTGATAGTATTCTTAGTTACTGTTCTCAGAGAAAGAACAAGTGAGGGGCAGGGAGAGGATGGGGAAGGTGCTAGATTGGTGGCAGGACAGATGGTAAGATGCCTAGGTAAGCCCCTGGTTCAATGGCAGATGACTGAATGCTATGTGAGGTGTGGTTTGGGACTGGCTAGGTATAATGGGTTAGGAAATAATAATAATAATAGCTAGTAGCATTTACACAGTGCTTTAAAGTATGAGGTAACTGAGGCTCCCAGAAGTTAAGTGACTTGCCCATGGTCACACAGTTACTAAATGTTTGAGGCCAAATTTAAATTCAGGTCTTCCTGACTCTAAATCCAGTGTTTGATCTACTCTGCTACCTAGTTGCTTTAGAGTTTTCATTCACTCAACCACAAATCAGGACAGCTCAGTGCCTGAACAAGTCTCAAATATGAAAGAGCTAACTCCTCAAAGGAGTAAAGCTATGGTCTTTGGAGGTCTGGTCTGGAGAGTTGTTACTCCAGGGGATGAGAAGATGGACAAGGGTATGGCAGATGGCAAGATGCCCAGACAAGCCCCGGTTTCTGGTGGATGGCTAGGTGATAAGTGAACATTGCAGAGCCTCCTAAATGAGATCTGTCATCACTGAAGAGTCCATCAAAGTTAGCCACATAGGATTAAAGCCAAAGGGATAATGAATGTCTATACCATGGTAAATGAACATCCAGACCATTGGATGTATAACCTATAGAGCTGAGCCATCAGTACATACATATTGCTTGGATACTACAGATGGACAATGAATTTAGCCCAGAATTGAAGAGAAAGAAAATGGTGGAATGGATTGTCTTTCAATGGTCTCAAACTTCTCCCTGAAACAAATGTCATTGTACTTCTGGAGCTTTGCGGATAAAGCATGAAACAGCATTGTTTCTGAAGAATTTATGCTGTGGACTACCCAAAGGCCAATGGGGAGGCCCAAGTTGGACAGAGGTGGGCATAATAACATATTACTAAAGAACTATGCACAAGAAATGGCATAAGGATTATTATACCAGACATTCATGACTAGAAAAGGAAGTGGGTCAGGAAGAATAAGGAATAATCATTGAAAAACTTATATGATCAGTAAATATCCATGTAATGTCAAGAGATATAAAGGAAGACATCATTGTATTGGTTGTTCTCATGACAAGAAACTATGAGAAGATGTAGACACATAGACAAAAGTGTACACAATCTTCATAGCATCACCCATGTTGATGAAATCATATAGCTCCATTAAAGTAACCTAGCACCATGCTTTGCACATAGTAGGTGTTTAGTAAAATGTTAAATTAGTTTGAATGTTGATTATAGGAAATAAGCAACTTTTCTATCATCAGGTATTCAGAATCCTGTGAACACAAAAATTCTTTATTAATAATAATTTCTGGATTGTAAGTATTGAAATCTTAAGTATTGAAGTAAAAACGGAACAAAGAATTTTTTCACCTGAGATAAATATTACAAACCATGGCCATAGTAGTCAGTATAGAGCATACCCTTAGTTGGGAGACAGAGTGGGAAAGAGCAGGGTGGGGAGGAGCGCATCCCAGCTTGTCACTTGACAGCTTCCCATTTTAACTAATTATTGTTGCTAATTAGGTTCTAAATTCAGTTGGTTTTATATGGTTGAAGGACTGAAAGTACTCATTGGCACCCTGTAATTTAGTACTCAGGTTAAAGTCTCAGTCACCTCACTCTAATTATGATGTATTAGAGAGACAAGAAGATTAGTTAAATGAATTTGTTCATGCCTCAGAGTGAAATATTTGGTCAGCAAGACAGACAATTAGAGATAGTATAGAGAAGTATAATTAGGAGAGGCAGCTTGGCACAGTGAAGAGAAGGCTAGATTTAGAATCAGAAGGGGTGAGTTCAGATTTCAGCTCTGAAACTTTATGACCTGGGTGAACTTCCCATAAGGAGACTTATCTATAAAATGAAGAGTTGGACTAGATCAGAGGTTCTTAACCTTGTTATGTCATGGACCCCTTTGGCGCAATATGATGAAGCCTATGACCCCTTCTCTCTCTTTTTTTTCCTTTTTTTTTGGAGGGGTAGGCAATTGGGGTTAAGTGACTGCCCAGAGTCACACAGCTAGTGAGTGTTATGTGTCTGAGGTCGGATTTGAACTCAGGTCTTCCTGACTTCAGGGCCAGTGCTCTATCCACTGCACCACCTAGCTGCTTCTTATGACCCCTTCTCAGAACAGGTTTTTTAATGCATTAAATAAAATACACATGAGTATCAAGGAAATCAATTAAAATATATTGAAGCAAACAAACAAATTCAGGCACCCAGGTTAAGACCCCCTGAGCTAGGTCATCCTCAATTTCTCTTCTAGCACTAAATAACATAATCATTTGCTAATGGCATAGAATGACCTAGATGCTTGCTTCAAGGTGGAGTGTAGGGTATTGCTGTGATACATGGACAGGACTACATTGTTTTGGAGGTAGGAAGCAAAAAAGGAAAATGACAAAGAAGAAATAAATCATTCAGAGGGCATTTCATATTAACAAAGGAAAAAAAAGGTAGGAAAAAGAAAGTTGAGAAGGAAAGGTTCTTGGTCATCCCAAAAGAAAACTGCATTTTACAAAGACGGGGGAAGGGTCAAGCTCTAGGCGAAACATAAATTTAATAACATTTAACTATGAATAACAAAGCAGAGCCAAACATATAGCAGGCACTCAATAAATGCTTGTTGACTTGATAATAAAACAGGATAGTTGATTTTTTTCTGAACAAAATAAAAAACATTATAAAAAAGGTAGAAAAATGGAATAATGGTGATAGCTACCATTTATACAACATTAAGATTTGCAAGACATTTTGCAAATATTATCTCATTTGATCCTTACAACAACCCTGTCAGGCAGATGCTATTATTATCTCCATTTTACAGATGAAGAAATAAGGCTGACAGAGGTTAAGTGATCTGTGAAGGGTCATACAGATAATCAATGAGATAGGATTTGAACTCAGGACTTCCTGACTCCAAATCCAATTGTAATAGTTATAATGTTAAATTGATGTAAATAGATTGAATGTCTCCATTTTTATAGGGTTATATGTGGAATGTGTTATTTAAAAAAAACAGAACCCAGTAATATATTGTCCACAAGAACTGCATGTAATGCAAAATGACAAGTATGTTTCAGTCAAGAGGCAGTGTGGTTGCTAGCTTGAGAAAATCTGATGAAGCAATAATGACATCTGATTAAGTTTAGTACAAAACTAAAATAATCAAAAGAAATAAATAAGGAAATTAAAGTGTGCTAAAATATTCAACCAATAATGAAATTGTATCAACTTAAAATGTAAATGCAATAAATAACATTCCAATTTCAGGTACAATGTACCTGTGACCACATTAATCTGTGGGTGCTTTCTCCCAGTGATACAGATTTCGACCTTTGCAGGCTTGTTCATGCTACAAATCTTGTCCATATTCTACCATAAATATGCTATAGGGGATCCATCCAACATGTTAGGGATCTTCCTCAAGTTCTCTGGCTTTCTTCAAGACTCTATTCAAGTCACACCTCTTCCAGGAAGCCTTTCCTAGTTCCTCTGTTGCTAGTGACTTCTGAGGTTACCTTCAATCTTCTCTCTGTTTCTCTTTCTGCGTGTGTGTGTGTGTGTGCGTGTGTGCGTGTGTGTGTGTGTGTGTGTGTATGTGTGTGTGTGTGTATAAAATCTTGTATGGACCTAGTTATTTACATTTATTACATTAGTTATATTACCTTTGCTCTTACCACATGACCAGTTCATCTTTTTTGCTTAAACTTTTCTTCCATAATGAAATAATACAACAGTAAAATTTTACAAAGGACAAGCTCACATTTTAGAATTTTTAATGTGGTCCAGTTCTACATAGGATTTCCCTATTTCATCTTCCCCAGGAAATGTTGATATGTAAGCTGCAATTAGCTTGGTAGCAATCTATTTACTTTAGCTCATAATGAGTACTTCAAAGAGAGATGACCCAGTCTCCCATGCAATGTTTCTTATTGTATATCAGTCTATTTTATACCTCTCGGGTGTCAAGGAAAATCGTGCTTACTCAGCCACTGACAGGTCTAATGAGGCTATTTATTAGGAAAAGGATACAGTGAAAGAGCACTGTGATGAGCTACACAGTCATCTGGAGTTCTAGAATCTTTTAATTCTGGGATACGTATGTACACAGATGTCATAAACATATTCATCCACCTAGACACAGCCAAGGAGAGTTCCTAGACTCACTAACTAACTGTCCAGGCTCAGCTGTCTCACATGGCATTCCGGGTGTAAGTGTTTTATCCAACTTCGGTCATCATAAATTCTGCTTACCAAAGAGAAGAACGCCCAACAGGAATCAAATATTGGCACAGAAATCAAGGTATTGGTTAAGGTTGAATAAGGAACAGCTGAGATGTTCAGCACAAAGAACATTTCAGAGACATGATACAGGGACAATCAAGAGAGAGCAGATCCCATAGACTTTCACTATTAACATCTCTGTTTTGAGAACCTCTGATCTTTCTTTCCTTGTCTTCTGCTTTCATTTATAAAGAAAATGTCAATATGGCTTTGACTTGATTCTTCTAATACTGTGTCTCTCATTGATCTTTGGACAGAGATTGCATATTAAAAGTATTCATTTATATAACATGATTTATTAAGCACCAGCTGTGTGCTAGAAGGGCACAGCCAGGTGGTACGGTGGATAGAGTACCAGGCCTGGAGTCAGGAAGACTCATCTTCCTGAGTTCAAATCTGGCTTCAGACCCCTTATTAGCTGTGTGACCCCTGGACAAGTCACTTAACCCTGTTCACCTCAGTTTCCTCATCTGTAAACTTAGACACTTAACACTTAATAGCTGTGTGACCCTGGGCAAGTCACTTAACCTCAGCGCCTAGCAAAAAACAAACAAACAAAAATAAATAAATAAAATGAGCTGGAGAAGGAAATGGCAAATCACTCTAGTATCTTTGTCAAGGAAACCCCAAATGGAGTCACAAAGAGATGGACACAACTGAACAACAACAACTGTGCTAGAAGAGGCAGTTAGGTAGCTCAGTAGAGAGAGCATTGGGCCTAGAGTCAGGAAGACCTGAGTTCAAATCCAGCCTCAGACACTTAGTAGGTGTGTGACCCTAGGCAAATCACTTAACCTCTATTTGCCTTAACCCATTGGAGAAGGAAATGGCAAAACGTTCCAGTATCTTTGCCAAGAAAACACCATGGACAGCATGATCCATGGAGTCACGAAGAGGTAAACATGGCTCAACAACAACATCAACACTGTTTTAGACCCTGGAGATACAAAAACCATAGGGGGCAGCTAGGTGGCACAGTGGAGCTCTGGCCTTGGAGTCAGGAGGACCTGAGTTCAAATCTGGTCTCAGACACATGACACCTACTAGCTATGTGACCCTGGGCAAATCACTTAACCCTGATTGCCTCACCAAAAAGCAAAAACACAAAAACAATAGGAAAAACATTAGCTGCTTTCAAGAAGCTTACATTCTATTGGGAGGAAACATATCCACAGATAAGTAAATATAAAATACATATGTAAGGTAAATATAAAATTAGTTGTTGGGACACTAGAGGACACTAGAAACTGGAGGATTCAGAATAGACTCAGCTCAGATATTGCTCGCCACATGAGGCTTGTCCTGATCCCTGCTATTGCTGGATTTAACAAACTGACAATGTTCTTTGACTCCTGTGATCCTATTATTAAAACAAGACTCTTAGGATGTAGTTTAAAGTGGAAAAAGGAATTATATGTCCAATAATATTCCTAGTTCTTAGCATAGTGTTGACATATACTAGATGTTTAATAAATCTTTATCGATTAATTGATTCATAGCTATTTCATTTATAATAAATAAATGATTTACTTGTAATAGTGAAAAAATCACATATAACCAATATGTCCTTGACAGCAGGGGCAGTCTTCTTTTTCTCTTTGTGCCTCTGGTATTTGGCTCAAAGCTTAACACATACTAAGACCTTAAAAAAAACTTTGTTCATTCAATCATTCGCTGTTGAAAATGATTCAATATGCAGAATGCAGAGTAAAGATGGTTGAACTGGAAATTAGCAAACCCATTGAACACAACTATATAAAAAATAACATCAAAACTAAATGCACGCGCACACACACACACACAGAGATATACACAGACATGCAGATGAGAGCTTACAAATTAACAGAATAAAGAAATTATTAGTTGAAGTATATATATATATGTGTGTTTATGTATGTATGTATGTATAGAATTAATGTAAATCTGATTACATGGTTATGATTTTACTGATTTTTTTTTGTTCTTTGTTTTTGCGATCCTGAGTTTGTATATTGGTATAGAGAACTCCCAAACAAGCCACTCCTTCTATCAACGTAGATTGTTGTTGTTTTCAGCTGTTTCATTCTTGTTTGATTCTTCATGACTCCCATTTGAGGTTTTCTTGGCAGAGATACTAGAATGGTTTGCCATTTCCTTCTCCAGCTTATTTGACAGAAGAAGAAACTGAGGTAAACAGAGTTAAGTAACTTGTCCAGGGTCGCACAGCTAGTGTCTAAAACTTTTTTTGAATTCAGGTCCTCCTGACTGCAGTCTTGGCATTCTACCTACTGAGCTACCTAACTGCCCTCCAATGCAGTTTAGCAACTGCTCAACACTTTATAATTTTAGAGATAATCAAGGCAAACTCCAGCCTAATGCAGGGATTCCTTCTACAGAATTCCTAACAAATAACTATTTTCCTCTGCTTGAATTTTTTTTGTTTTTAGTTACTTATTTAGTATTTTATTTTTCCACAATTACCTGTTAAAACAATTATTAATATTCATTTAAAAATTTTTGAGTTCCAATTCTCTCCTTCCCTGCCCCCCTTCATTGAGAAGACAAGCAATTTAATATAGGTTATACATGTATAGTCAGGCAAAAAATAGTTCCTTATTAGTCATGTTGTAATAGAAAACATGAACCAAAAAAGAAAAATCTCCAAAAACTCCAAGAAAAACAATCTGCTTGAATATTTTGTCAGTCATTCAGTCAACAAGAATTTATGAAATGCCTCCTATGTGCCAGGCACTGTGCTAAGCACAGGAGCTAAAAAGCAAAGCAAAGGATAGCCACCAGTCTAATGGGAGATACAACATCCAGATGCCTATGTACAAACAAGATATAGCAGGATAAATTGAAGATAATCAACAGAGGGAAGGCGTTTGTGTTAAGGGGGGGTTAGGAAAGGCTTATTGCCAAGGTGAAATGTTAGCTGGGACCTGAAGGATGTCAGAGAAAGAAGGAGGGAGATAAGGATGGAGAGAATTCCAGGCATGGGGGGACAGCCAGCGAAAATGCCGCAAATCAGGAGATGGAGTATCTTCTGAGAGGGTTGGGGAGGGGAAGGCCAGTGTCACTGAATCCAGAGTATGTGAGGGTGAGTAAGGTGGGAGGAGACTGAAAAGGCAGAAAAGGCCAGGTTATGAGGATTTAATATTTGATCCTGAAGGAAATCAGGAGGCATTAGAATCAGTGCTCCTCTTAAAAAGAAGTGCCCAAAAGAATAGCAAGTTGTAAATAACAGATTTGCAGTTTCACGCACAAGCATCTTTTTAAAAAAATTATGCTATGTTATACAAATACTTGTTTTATTCTATTCATTAAAAGTAAATAAAAATTAAAAGAGAGAGAGAGAGAGAGAGAGAGAGAGAGATGCCCAGAATGGAACCTCTTATTTTAGATGTTATTTGACCCATGCAGAGTACAGTGGAATTAATATGTATCTCTGTGATTGGCTCTTTCTTTTAATGTCCTTAATTCGCATTAATGTTATGATAGCTGTGCCACCCTGCCGTGGGATGTACATCTTGTGGTCAACTAAGACCTTCAGGTTGTTGTTTTTTTTGGTGGGGGGAAGAGCTTTGTGTTTACATTTGGGTCATCTGGTCACTGTATAAGCAGGTTTCCAGTTTACAGGTTGAATCTTACCCTTATGGTTTTTAGGTAAACAGGGTGATTACTTCCGGCTGCTACTACCAGGTACTTACACTGTCACTGCCACAGCACCTGGGTATGGATCAGAGACAGTGACGGTGACAGTTGGACCTGCAGAGCCAAAGCAGGTGAGTTGGGCTGATGTTTTGTAATATCTTTCTTGTTGATGTAGAAAGTTTTAGTGCTTATAGTTCTAGTTCACAGTTCTAGCTTTTGCCAACCTCTTCTTCTTTTCCTCTTTCTACCTTACTTCTTCATATCCTATTTTTCTTCTGTACCTCCTTCTCAAACTATCCCTTCCCTGCTTCCTTTCCCTTTTTTTACTATGGAAGGGATGGCGCCTTTCCCAAAGTCCATGTTGGCTCTGATATGAACTATGTGTCTTTGGGCAAATCACCACCTTTCACTGCAAGGAGGGATAAAACTCCCACTGCCTATTTTATAGGGATATTATAAGGAAAGCATTTTATAAAATGAAGTACTGTGTATAACCTATATCAGATTGCTTGCCATGTTGGGGAGGGAGGGAGAAAAACTTGGAACTCATAAAGTCTTAAAAAAAATTTATGTTGAAAACTACTTTAAAAAATAAAATACTATTTACCCAAAAGAATCTTTAAAATCAAGTAAAGTGCTATAGAAATGTTAGATGTTATTTTTGTATCATCCTATGGCCTCCAAGGGTCCCTCCCAGCCCTAAACCTATGATATCTATGGTGGTTGTGATTTCTATCACTTAGATGCCAGTTTCACTTTCTGACTTCACCAAGGAAATCCACCAGGTGGCTCCACTAGTGCTTCCTTTCCTAGCACCGCATCCCTTGGTCAAGCCTGTTGTCTGTACAACCCATGTCATATTTGGCACTGAGACCAGATGAAGGCTCTAAATGACTTTTAATTTTTCATCTAGCGAGTAAAAATTAGAGAAGAAATAGCCAGTCAAGGCTCAGTTTCAGCCACAGAATCACTGAAACAGAACTGAAAGGGACTTGAGAATTCATGCAGTCCAACACACCAATACTACCATTATACACGTGAGGAAACCACAGATACAGCCCCATTCGTCCCACCTGCTCTGCAACCCACCCATCAAGTCTACAGTCTCCATTTCAAAGTCATCTTAGCTTCCTGTCTGAAGTTCCTGATTTACCCCACCCCCAGATAGGCTTTCTCCCCAGACTCCACCCACCTTAGATTAAATTTTACCATCCCTTAGCCCAGGGTAAAGGTTAAGGGATTTTGTACCAAGGTCTTTGACTTCAGAACAATATTGAGCTCTTAATCTTAATATTAATACCTAATAGCTAGGTAGGACTAGAACTGTGGCTTGGTCCTCCCTCTCTCTCTCTCTCTCTCTCTTTCTCTCCCTCTCCCTCCTTCTTTGTTACTTTCTTCCTTCACTTTCCTTTTCTCTTTCTTTCTTTATAAATTTGCTTCTTTGCTTCATATAAAATTCCCAAAGCAATCCTCCACAATGTATAGTTCCTGAAAACAAGTAAATAAAATATTGAGAAATTAATCCTAAGATGAAAATTTGGTACCAGTTTCCTCATCTATAAAATGTGGGGGTTGGACAAAATTGATTGGTGGGTAGATGTATAGATGGGTAAGTAGATAGATAAGCCTCAGGAGGACAGGACAGAGGCACCTCTGGAGGAGACGTGTCCAGAGCTGCTTCACTGATTTTGAAATGTAGTAGAGTACACTTAGGGAATGTCTGAGCCTCCTTTTTCTCTCCTCTCATATGCTGGGCTGGTTATCTGTTTTCTTCACACCTAGAAGGCAGCATGAAATGTTCACTTAGCCCTGGAGCCAGCTCTTCCTTTGAGCTAATAGTTCTTCTCATTCACCTGCCCCAAGACCTGGCATCCAGAAAGGGGAGGGGAAGAATGAAACACTCCCACAAGATTTCAGGGCCAGTTGGTACAATGTTGATGTAGAGGCTTTTCTAGCCGATATACCTCTATTTTCTTTTTCTTCCAGGTTAACTTTCAGCTCAGCATAGACACCACTAAAGAATCCACTGAGCAAAAAGCCCCTGTTAAAGCTCCCAGTGGCAAAACCCTCCTAAAGAAGACGGCATCCCGAGAAGTTGGCAAAGAGACACGGAGAGGCAGGCCCTGATAGTGCAGCAGGGCTCAGCTCACTCCTGCCTTAAAACCAGAGTCATCCAGACCAGGATGAGAAAAGAGGCCGAGAGGCACACTTGATGAGAGCCCAATCTGCCTGATATTAAATAAGATGGAGCTATCTATTTTGTTACCTGTGAGGTATTTAAATACAAAACTGATTCAGGAAAAAATATGGGGTGTTCTCAGTTTGCCATTTCTAAAATTGTTACTAATGTGATCAACATGGTATCATGAGGATCTATCAGATGGTTCAGATTCTTCAGAGCTTAGATCTTTTTTCTTTCTAGGATACTCCCAGATATGAATTAAGCTGCTCAAAGGGTTACAAGCCAAAGGATATGTCAAATGGTCCTGGCATTTTAGTTATAGTGTAACTAAAATCAGCAGACTGGTTATATATATTCTTTACAGGGATATTAACTTTCTATGCTGTCAACAATGTTTCCACAGAAGGACTCCCAGAGAACTGGTTTCACATTTGATTCAATTCAACCAGCATTTATTAAGCACCTGCTATTTGCAAAGCAAATACTATACTAGGACCTGGGGATACAAAAGCAAAGATTGAAAATCTGTCCCCACAAGGAGCTTCTAGTCCAAGGGTGGAGAACCCATGGCCTCAAGGCCACATGTGGCCTTCTAAGTTCTCAAGTTTGGCCCTTTGAATCCAATTTTGTTTGAACAAAGGGCTACACTTAAGGACCTAGAGGGCCACATGTGGCCTCGAGGCCACAGGTTCCCCACCCTTGTCCAGTCTTATCAATTTCAGAACATCCCCATCAGTGCCTCTATAATCCAAACTTCTGAGAACTGATCAAATGCAAAAAGAGGGCTGATTTCACGTCAGCTCATTCTAGAGTGACCTGTTTCTGAGGAACTTACGCACGCTGATCAGACTTAATAGAATACTGACATAAATCAGAGTGCCAATGTATTTTGTAGCATTATAAGCTCTATGAATCCTCCTCCAACTCATACACTCTTATGAGTCATATCCCCCAGAGCAAGGTTCATATCCCCGAGGGAGTCAGAGTGTCTTTTAATGCTTACCAGTTATAAGCCCCCAATATCAGTCACTAGTGATTATCATCCCACCATCATTTAATCAATGAACGAATTTTACAAAGGCATATTTACTGCGAGGGGCAGCTAGATGGCACAGTGGATAGAATGCCCAGCCTGGAGTCAGGAAGATCTGAGTTAAAATATGGCCTCAGACACTGTATAACCCCGGGCAAGTCACTTAACCCTGTTTGCCTCAGTTTCCTCATCTGTATAATGAGCTAGAGAAGGAAATGGTAGACCATTCCAGGATCTTTGCTAAGAAAACCCCCAAATGGGGTCATGAAGAAACAGACACAACTCAACATTTACCTCAAAAAATACAGCAAGAACAGAAGTTACAAAGCATTTTCTCCTCCCCACATCCCTTCTGCCCCCACTAACCAGGGGATCATTCTCTCTATCATCTCAGGCCCTGAGAAGAGCAAATTCACACTTAAAGTAGTTGCTACAAAACATTTGCCCTACCAAGTTCACTTCCAAAGACTGCAGAGCTGATGGACAAATATGAGTCTCTATTACCTCTGGGAGGGGTCAAGAAGGTCCCTCTTAAGGTCTTCAGGTAGCAGCTCACCTGTGCCCGTCTAGCAAATCTGAGCATGGATTCTGGCTCCTGGACTTCTGGAGCCTTCAACACCAATTACTCTCTCCTTGATACTCTCTAGGTTTTTATGACATTACTCTCCCCTGGATCTCCTACTTATCTGACCATTCCTTTTCATTCTTCTTTGCTAGATATTCAAAGTCATGCTTACCAACCACAGATGTCTCACAGAGCTTTGTCCTGGGCTCTTTTCTCCTTCCATACTATCTCACTTGGTAATCTCATCAGCTGCTGTGGATTCGATTATTACATCTATTCAATGATTCTCAAATCTACCCTTCCAGTCCCAACCTCTCTACTGACCTCTGGTCTGGCATCTCTGACTGCCTATTGAATATTTTAGACTGAGTGTTTCATAGATAATGTTAAACAAAAACATGTCCTAGACTGAACTTCCTAAAGTGATCTTCCTAAAGCATAAGTCTGACCATCTTCATTCCCCTATAAATATGCTCAAACCCTAGGGGCTCCCTGTCACCTCCATGACCAAATAGAAAATCCTGTTTGGCATACAAATCCTGCTCCCACCACCCCCTATCTTTCCAGTTTTACTATACCTTATTACTACAATCCCCTTCTCTCCCCCCAAATGTATACACACTCACATATACTCTTTGATCCAATCACACAAGCCTTCTTGCTTACTGTTCTTCCAACAAGAAACTTCAATTCCCAGTTCTGAGCATTTTCATTGGCCATCCCCCATGCCTGAAATGCTCTCCCTCTTCATCCCCTCCTCCTGGCTTCCCCAGCTTCCTTCAAGTCCCAGTTAAAATCTCACCTTCTATAGGACACCTTTCCTTATGTTCCTTAATTCTAGTGCCTTCCCTCTGTTTCTTATTTCCATTTTCCTACATATAGGTTGTTTGTAAATAGTTCTTTGCATGTCATCTCCCCCATCAGACTGAACACCTTGAAAACAAAGCGTTGACATTCTTTTGCTTTTCAGCACTTAGCATAGGGCCTGCCTTATGGGAGGCACTTAATGTGTTCATTGACCCACTGATGGGCACTCACTAATCTAACCTTTTGAAGCTCATAAAGTCTTATTTCCAGTACTCTATTTAAAGGCCAGAAGAATAGGAACAATAGACAGAAGAAACAACAGAGTCATGCATTCCCAGGCCATGTGACAGTAGCCCCAGTGGAGAGACAGAGACCTGAGACCTTTCTCTCCACCAAGGGTTCACAATAGTCCTTGCTTCCTCATTCCAACCAGCCAGGCAAGAAAGAGAAAGTGATTCATTTTGGCCAGTTAATGTCTCTTGAATGCATCTCATTTCCAACTCAGCAGCCAATCAAAAGTCTGGTTCTTCCACACTAGAACAAACTGGAACCAGTTACAGAATGTCTGTATGTTCCAAAGTCCATATGGAGATTGTATTGGATGAGCACACTGTAGGTGCTTATAAAGGCTGAGCTTGCCTGAGCTCCTATTTCAATTAAGTGACAGTGTAAGGAATTCCTGGCATGACAACTGACATTTTTCTGGGAGGCATTATGGGAGAGTATAAAGAGTGCTGGCTTTGGCATCAGGGTATGTACCCATGTGACCTTGAACAAGTTCCTTAACTTTTAATTCCCAGTTTTCTCTTCTCTAAAATGAGGGGATTGAGGGGACTTGATGACAGTTAAGGTCCCTTTGAACTCTTAAATCTATGACCCTCCACAAAAGGTAACCTATTCTGATGTGTAAGTCTGCCAAGGAGACAAAATTACAAAAATCATCTAATTTCTTAGTGAGCAAAGATTTAACAAAAAGAGCCAGTTCTCTACCAAGCTCTTGACTCTTTTTTATGATTCTCATACATTTCTCTCATTTCATTTCCCAATTTTTCCTCTACCTCTCTTGATTTTTAAAATCTTTTTTTGAGCACTTCCAGGAATTCCTTTTGGGCCTGATATCAATTCACCTTTTTCTTTGGTGCTTTGCATGTAGCCATTTTGACATAATTGTCCTCTTCTGAGTTTGTGGGTTTGCTATCACCACGGTGATTTTTCTATGATCAGGTTCTTTTTTCGTTGTTGGCTCATTTTTCCAGTCTATTTTTTTTCTTTTAGCTTTCTGTTAAAGTTGGGCTCTGTCCTAAACTTCAGGTTTTCTTTGCCGCTGTTTTCAGAGCTAACTCTGGGGACCTGCAAGTTTTCAGTTCTTCCAAGGTGGCATGATCTAAGGAGAGGTGCGCTCACTACTCTCCTGGTCTGTGAGTAACCACAAGCACTCTTTTTTGCCCTGGAACTGTGACTAGGGTTCCTGCTCACCTGTAGCTGCAAGCTTTAGTGTACTAGTGCTCCTTCTCAACCTACCCTGTGACCTGGGCCTGCAACCTGGCTTCCCGTATGGGCCATGCCACAGAGCTCTGCCCTCAGTGCCAGCAATGTACCCCCTGCTGCTGATTCACTTACCCTCAGGGCCTGCATTGGCTTACTAGGGTGTGGCCTGCTGTTGGCTTACCTGGAGCTTCATTGAACTGTGCTCTCCATTCACCTCAATGAGACAGACCTTTCCTGTCCACCTTCTGAGTTGTCTTGGACTAGAAAATTGTTTTATTCCCTCATTCCAGAATTCATTTTCAGGCATTATTTTAAACTCTTTTGGAGGGCAATTCGGGAGAGTTCAGACAAGTTTCTGCCCTTAGTCCATCATCTTGACTCTGCCTTCTATATGTTTTGGGTGTTCTTAAGTCATATTCTGATCAAGCTAAGTAGTCTGATAGATTGTCCTCTACTCAGGAGAACCTATCTTTTTGAGGGAGCATATATCAGTCACCAGAACTGAAATGCCTTCTCTTTTTTTCAGTGTTAAACAAATACTGACCATTCTACTTCCTTTTTCAGCATTCGTTATGTAACAAGGGAAGGATATACAATTTCATCAGCATGGAGAATTCCTTGTATTGGAACTTCCTCCACAAACAGCAGATTCAAGCATTCAAGTCATACCTTGCAAGATAAGTCCTATGGAGTTAGTTACCTGTGGCACCAAGAGCTTATTTGACTTGCCCAAGGTCACACAGCTACTAAGAGTCTCCTGTCTCCAGGCTCAATGCTCTCTCTACTTCCCCACACTGCCTCTATACAATAATCCTTACCAGTTAACAGCAAGTTGGTAGGACCATAGATTAACAGCCAGAATCAAGCTTAGAGATTGTCTAATCCAAACTTCCCATTTTACAGAGGAGAAAATGAGGCCTAGACAAGTTATCTAAGTCACTTCAAGGTCACGTGGGAACTTAAACAGCATAGCTAAGATTCAAGCCCAGATCTTCTGATTCCAGATAATGTATTTTTTCATAGATAGATGTAGATATAGATATAGATACATGCATCTGTATATAAAATTCCCACTATCCTTCCCCATTTGAGCAAATAAAAGAAAATGAAACCCATAGGTACACAGTACTACAAATTTACATATTAACCATGTCTAAAAATGTCTATTTTTTCCTGCATTTTAAGTTAATTATCTTTCTGTGGGTATAAGTGGTATAAGTCATCTTCATTCA